CGGTGAAAATTAAAGAGTTTTTATTTAATAAAAAAAGCAAAGCACTTTTCTCGCTTAAAGTTATACTTATACTTTTTCGAATAAGATTTAAATAAAAGAGAAAGTTAATATTAAAGTTCGGATAATAAATAACGTTATATAAACGAATCTAATTAAAACTGCCGTCGTTCGTTTTAACGAATAAAGCAATTGTGCCTTTCTTTTAAAGTAAAAGTGAATGACCCCTTATTTTAAAAACGATAGTTACTTCGCTTAAATCGAATAAAAAAATGTTCTTGAAAAACTCTTAACGGTAGAATATATGCTTAATACAATTATTATTAAAAATAAAAGTGTTATCCTTTCAGTCTTAGTCGGCATAAGCGATTGCGGATCGGAAGCGAATGCGGATTTTTCTTTTATTGCTAGTTATTATATACAAAATACAATTTAAAACATTACTTTTTAATTCATAATCGTATAATTTAATTGTATTTCATTAATTACAAGCCGAAAACGTGTTTATATATCGATAGTTTGATATTTTAAATCGATGAAAAGCTTGCTATTGAGCAGTAAGCTAATTTTTTTTTTTAATCTAATGCAAAATAATAATGAATCACCGATAAAATTCAAAACAAAGATGCTAATATCGTAAAAGAATCGATTTACGCAAAGCTAAGCGCGAGCGTAAAAAGATTATACGAAAACGCTGCAAGCTTAATTATTAAAAACGACGATTTAATACTCATTTTAATTCTCGATTCGAAAGAGATTTGTTAAATGCAACAACCTTTTAAACGTTAAATTCTGCGGCCTCGTAAAAAAAGTATTCTTCGACCAACTTTTTCTTAACCTGAACCTTTTCTCGGTGATAATGATCTAATAATTACAACCGATACTACCGGAGACCTTTCTTTAAAGCAAAATATTATTCCTTTTCTTCGTATTAATATCGATAGCGATAGCTTCAATTCTAATAATAATAAAGATTCAAACGATTCGTTGCGTAAAGTAAAAGACGAATCAAATTCTAATAAAAATAGTGATCGATAGTCAGATGTTTCATCGGATGATACGATTTTAAATATTTCGGAAGACGGTATAATAAACGATTAATTATTTATGTAAATATTTCTTAGTTGTAGTAATAAATGCTATAGTATTAAAGAATTTCTAACATATTCGAAAAAATCCGCATTCGCTTCCGATCCGCAATCGCTTATGCCGACTAAGACTGAAAGGATGAAAGGAGGCCTACTTACGCGAGCCGACGATTAAGTCGAAAAAGAAAATAATGCTTTTAAACTAATTTTAATTAAGATAATCTACTTCGAGCAAACTTTAATTATTAATTTATATTAGAATCTCGAACGTCGAAAGCGGGTTGAAAGTCTTATTAACGCAGTTACGAATTAATAATATAAAAAGAATAGCGGAAAAAGTCTTTTCGAAAGAGTCGGTATTTTTAATAGTCTTTAGTTTAACTTGCTTAGCAGCTTTATCTTTACGTTTCTTTTCGATTCGTTTATCGAAAGCAGCTTTTAAATAAAAGTAAGCTATTACGCATTTCAACTTAAAATAATAAAGTTTTTTGTAACAATTATAAATTATAATAGATTTATTTCTTTTTGCAAGTTTACCGGGTTTTCCGTATGCGAAGAATGCTTTGCTTAAAGAATATTATATTAATTGCTTTTCTTTACGAGTAGCGGTTATAAAGTCGGCGAAAGCAGTTTTAAATTTATCGCTATCGATATAATCGTTATTCGAGATTTAATTAAATTTAAAGTTTTCGTACGAAAACGATAATTAATTAAAATAAACTTTAATTATTTATAAAGCGGAAAGTTAAGTATTATTATCGAAAAGCTTAAGTTATCCGTTTAAGCGTATAAATTCGTTATTAAAAAAAGTAACGTCGTCGAACTCGTTAATATAAAAAGCGAGCAACGCGGATTAAAAACGATAGAACGTCGCGACGCTTTTAAGTCGAAATCGTTTTTTTAAATTTATTAATAATAGCTTTTTAAGATCGTGCTTTTTAAAGTCTCCGACGATTATAAAACTTATTCTCTTTTTTTTAACGAAGTTTGCGACGGTTAACTCGAGTCTGTTACGAATAAAAAAGCAGCTTTAAGTTTAAAGTTCGTTTTACGCGTTAAGTCTTTTCTTAAACGCAAACTCCGTCTCGCTTAAAAAGCGAGTTAGTCGGACTTTTATACTTTTCAAGATTTTTTCGTAAAAGTAATTTTTATTAATAAAAGCGAAGTCGATACGTCGAAAAAACTCGATTTAGTTTTCTTCGTTGAAAAACGGAACGGCGGAAAAAGCAGAAAAAGAAGCGGATTAAATGTCCGTAGCTATTCTTAAAAATCGAAGTCTTAATAAGCTTAATAAAATCCTTAACGTTAGCTAGTAGTGCTAAAGTAATATTTATCGAGATATTCTTATAAATAATAAAAAAGTTTTTTGATTCGGAAACCGAAAAGTAAAGTAAGTAAAAAAAAACAAAAAGGCTTTTCGTTTAAAGCCGATAAAAAAAAAGTGTTTAAGTTTAATTCGATATCAAAAGGTTAGAAATCAAGATCAAAGTCACGATCTTTAATAGAGTCGAAAGATTAGAAAAAAGTGTTAATAAGTATTTGTATATAGTTTATAAAGAAATCAAAGCGATAAAAGAAAGTAAAGTTAAAAATTTAAGAGATCTTGCGAGTTTTCGTATTCTTTAATAATACGAAAGTATCGTTCGTAAGAAAAGCTTTTTTTAAAGTCTTTTAAAGTTTTTAGTTAGTTAAGCTATCCGTAGCGTTTTAATTTATAATTAGTTTGCGATAAAACAAGTAAAGTTAAGAATAAAATAAAAAATCTATTAAGGTTATCCGAGTTTTATTTTATCGTAAAAGCTAAAGCGCGCTAACGTAGTGCGGCTAAGTCGTTTGAAATATAATAATCTCGATAAAAGAGTTTTCGATTGATATTAAATATAAATAAAATATATATACAAAGTAGATTTATAAAAAGTTAAATCTCGGAAAATTAAAGTTCATTTCGGCGTATTCCGTCGAAAAGTCTATAAATATATATATATATATATAAACTTTAAAGAAACATTATTATTCGAAATAAGTTATTATTAAAGTATTTCTAAAAATAAAAAATCGTATATTTTTAGAAAAAGATATAAAAAGTTAGCGATAAACGCAAGCAATAAAAAAAAGGAGTTGTGTATATCGCTAGAAAATAGTTTTAAAAAAGAATATCGTGTTCCGTTCCGTTTTGATTTTATCTTTACGAAAGGTTCGATGCTAAAGAAATCGCAAAGAGTATTAGTTATAGTATTTCGGCGCTAAAAAAGTCGTAGCGGAAGCTTATAACTTATTAAACGATAACACGAGGAAAAAGATAAATAAAAAGATTCTTAATTATTATCTAATAAACTTAAAGAGTAGCCGTTTACTTATACATCTGGAAAGGTCTTGACACGTAATAGGTCTATCACCTGATTACATCCGACACGAAGAAAGTGTTTATGCTATTGCGTATAAAGTCTTTAAACTTATCTATATCTTTGTCCGTTATTTTCTTATAAAATTGGTTTATCGGCACGCGCTTTCGTCTCGAGATCGTAATAATTAAAGTCTAGTAATTTAAAATGCTATACAAGTCCTTTTTTATTATCGTAATAGCGTGCGGTATATTTAAGAAAGTAAAGTCTAGAACGTAGCCGAGCTAATATATAAGTTTTCTCAGCACGTCGATAAAGTTTATGCCGCTCGCTATAAACTAGTTCGCAAGATCTTTTTTTTAGTAAGCGGTCCGAACTTTTAATTCGAACATTTTATATTGTATATTAAAGTCTTTTTTTATTAAGCATTTATAATTAAAAGTAAAATGTAAGACGTAATCGATAACTCTATTAATAGTCGGTTGTTTATAAGTATTAAAGATAATATATTAATTAACGTCGATTTAAAACATGTCTTTACTTTAAACCGATCGTCGCTGCTTTATATAAAGTCTAACTCTTTTGCGAATGTATATAAAAACTCGAAGCTTTTCAGCTTCGAAGTTGTCTTTCGAAATTTTTTATAAGTCTATTAAAAAGTAGATGTTAAAAGCGAAGTGTGTTTATATCTTTGTATTAAAGTAAGTGATTAGTTTTTGCACGCATATTACGTTTATTTTATGCTTATGCGTTAAAGAGAATATAATCTAGTAATTAAGTGTTAGGCTGCTCCATGGGGCCCCATGGGGCCCTACGGAGTTTTGGGTCCTTCTTACGGGGGAACCCACGGGGGGTACAAAATTCTGCCCCTCCCCATAAGGAAACCCCATAAGGCGTAGGGTTACTCCATAGGGTTTATATACATAAAAATATGCATATGCATAATTATTAATCAAGTTTACTAATCACATTTACTAATCACATTTACTAATCACATTTACTAATTAAAGATTCAGAGTATTAGTTAAATTTATTAATTACAAAGGCTTAAGGGTTAGTAAAGACCCGTTCTTTAGCTTAAGTCTATTAATTACAAAGAATTGATAAAGACCCGTCCTTTTGCAGTTACGTAGAATACGTTCAACTCGGTCTCCGCTTTTAGCTTAAGCTCTTGCTTGTAAGCATAGTTTAAATAAATTTCGTTTAACTCAAGTAGCTTTCTTAGCTTTTAGCACTTATTGCTTTACTTAAACTCATTTTCATCCGAGAACTTAAAAGTAAAGCGTTTGTATGCTAAAGTGCTATCGATAATAAAAAGGTATAGCATTAATAGCTCTTTCAAGATGCTTTTAGCTTCGGCATAATCGCTATCGAAAAGCTCAAGAGTAAGATTATTTAAGATCAATCGAACCTTAACATCTTTATAAGTGAATTGCTTTTTAATTGAATTAAAGAAAGAGACAAAGTGATCGAAGAAATAAAGGACTTAAGCGCTCTCTTTTTAAATAAAAAATCAATTAGTGATTATAAAATATAGATATTATTATTAACCTTATTAGCACCGTAGTGCTTGATGCCGAACTCGTCGAGAAAACCTTTACGACCTTTCCATTCGTAATTAAAGCCGATTAGTCTTAAAAACAAAGCGGTATCTTCCTCGTTATAGCAAGTAAACATTGAATTAATAACGTTACTATTAGCATAAACGATTACGAAATCCTTGTAGCGACTAAGTATTTCGTTGATTAGCTTATTGCTACCGGTGTTAAAAAGGTTGACCTCGACTATAGCGTTATAAGAGAAAGGAATCGACATTGCTAAATAAAGAAAATAATTAGCTTAAAGCAAAGAATCAAAAAGCAAAGAATTAAAAGGAAAATAATTACTTAAGTTGAGTATAGTTGTAGTTGAGTGTTAAGGTTAGTTAAGAAGTTAGGTGTTGAAGTTGAGAAGTTGAAGTTAAGTATTAAGGTTAAGAAGTTAAGTGTTGAAGTTAAAGTTAAGAAGTTAAGTGTTAAGGTTAAGAAGTTGAAGTTGAGTGTTAAGGTTGAGGTTAAGAAGTTAGGTATTGAAGTTGAGGTTGAGAAGTTGAATAAAAAGTAATTATAATGATGATGAAAAAAAGAAAAGGAAAAAGAAAAGGAGCGAATACTTATATAAAAATAAAAGTGTAGCTTAATCGTAATTAAAGCATTGCTTCGATTCATTAAAAGTGAATTATAATATTTGAAATAATGAATCGACGCGAAATAAAGAAAATAATGCGTTTTAAAACAATGAATCGACGCGGAACAAAGAAAATAACGCGTCGCTTAATAATAATCGATGCAATGCTTCGATTCAATAAAAGTGAATTATAATATTTAAAATAATAAATCGACGCGGAACAAAGAAAATAACGCGTCGCTTAATAATAATCGATACAATGCTTCGATTTAACAAAAGTGAATTACAATATTTAAAACACGAACTCGACGCAAAACAAAGAAAGAACGCTTCGCTTAGTAAATCTGATTAGTAAATCTGATTAGTAAATTTAATTAGTAAATTTGATTAGTAAATCTAATTAATAAATCTGATTAGTAAATCTAATTAGTAAATCTGATTAATAAATCTGATTAATAAATGCTGCACGGAAAGAAACCTTGCATGCTACACGTCCTTTTGCTACACGTGCTTAGCTCGGCTATAGCTCGGCTATAGCTCGGCTATAGCTCGGCTATAGCACGTGCTTTACCGTACGTAATTTGATTAGTAAATCTAATTAATAAATCTGATTAGTAAATCTGATTAGTAAATGCTGCACAGAAAGAATTAACGTACTTAAGGCTGCTATACGTAACTTACGTAAGGCTGCCATACGTAACCTATATAAAGCTGCTATACGTAACTTACGTAAGGCTGCTATACGTAACCTACGTAAGGCTGCCATACGTAACCTACGTAAGGCTGCCATA